CCCGAAACGCGAACGTGCCGAAAGTCCGGTTGTCATGGAAGCAAAGGGAACTTGGAGTTGCTATTCCCAAATTGCTGTTGAGCAGCCCCCAAAATCATCTTTTGTGTCTCATCACTCCCACTCGATGACCCGTTTCGGTACGAATCCAATATAAAACTTTTTTTTTTTTTTAAATCAGCAAATTTTGCTCCGATGGAGTTGATTTGTACAATACAATACAATACAATACAATACATCCTGATTTGTATCGCGCTTTCACCACAGCAGCAGCTGTAACAAAACGCTTAACAAAACAGTGAACACTGAGTCAAGTTTTCCCCCTCATACGCTTTGTTGTTGAAAGCAGTTTGTTTTCCTTGTGATTGTTCAAACATTTGGATTGATCAGCGGCATATTTGACGTTGTAGTTATTCGGCTTTGTCAGTTGTCTGGCAGCATATGTGCTCGTTTGTTTATTTCAATGTTGTCAGCCCTAACAATGTCATGTTTCTCAAAACAAGGCAACGCCGATTCTCATTTGCTCAGAAAAAGTCCGTTCCGCACCCAAGTCGTGTTGCTCAGTTTGTTCGACTGAGCAAAGTGGCTAAGACGCAAGGCTGCGGCCGCACGTGGCGGCTGGCCGCTGAATTGACTTTTCGTTGCTGACTTGGGACGCTGAATGGAAGAGCCCGTGGTCAAGCTCGCCGCGACGCTTCGCCAAATGACTCAAGGCCAACCCGCATGAAAACATGCAAAGCTGGACAAAATACAAAATGGATTCCACGGACTCGATCGTGAAGGACGGATTTCGGGGTTCTTCTAACGTCCCAAATTGCGCGGCGGCAGCCTGCAGACCGACGGACGGCGCTCAACACAGCGTAACGCTCCAGTTTATTGACTCATTTTGGTTTTGGACTGCACTTTTTCAAGAATCCTTACCCAGGAAAGACGCACGTTTGAATCAAGGAATGCTTTAAGGTGAGAATCATCGCCTTGTTGGAACTCGTTTGCTGTCAAAGAAAAGCGAGCCCGTTGAATTTGCAGAATACGTGCACGCGGTGGCGCACGGTCGGGATGGGACCGCCTCAGCCCCCGTTTGAGCCATGAAACCCCCCCCACCCAGATATGAATTTTGAATTTGGGGAGAGGCAATCACAGAATACGCACCGCCCGCCGCAACCGCAAACACCAGTTGTCGTCTTTTTCGCTTCAAATCGGTGGCGCTCAGTCACTCGCCGCCACCCGGATTTACGCTCTCACGGCGCCGATTGCTCACCACAAATATTCTCCCGACCAGTGCTGGCAGAGAGAGCAATTGCACGCGGCATTATGGAAAATCCTTTCTAATTGCGCCCAATTCCATTTTGCACGATTAGCAACAAGACCGCGTTCCTGAGTGACGACTTATCTCGCGGCCTCCGTTCCCCAAAATCCGGTCCTGAATGACAATGACGCGGCGCCGCCGCCGCCGCTAAGAACCCCATCGTCATTCCGGGCGCCGGCTCAAACTCGGGCTAATATTCAATTACAAGGGATTAGCCGAGAAAAGTCCACACCCTAACAGGCTGGAGCCGATTCGGCGGCACGGCGAAGATGGAAGGGGAATCCGAAAACGCGCCGGCGGAGATGCTAATGCGCCATCAAATAATGATGACGGCACGCACGCGCTTCTATTCAAATGACCCCACGCGAGACGAACGGGCCGACAAGAGTTCAGAGCCGACGTCTCCCCCTCCCCCCACACATGCCGCCGTCCTCCAACAGAAGGGTTACAAGATGAAAAGCTTCCGCTATTATATCGTCTTGAGCCTTCAGGGACTACTTGAGCAAGTCATAATGGGACTTATCCCGATTTGATATATTCATAATGGCGTAAAAGCCCTTCGAGGAAGTGAGAGGCTGCGAGAGTTCGGAGGGTGCTTTGAACACATCCGCTGTACTGTATGACCAAGCTTTTACTTGAACACACACGCACGCACCAGCATTATTTGTTTGTTTGTGTGTGTTCAATTTATTTTGTGTTTAGAGAGCCCATTAGCACCAAACTGCATTTTGGGCATCACCTCAAATTATCATTAGGAGAGACGGCGATTAACACCCAAACGTGTGCCCGGATCCAATTTGCTTTATGATCCACTCGCATTTCAAGGAAGTGCCAATTTGCTTCCTTGTTAGGGAGGTGAATTACACTTGTCAGCCGGGCGTTATTTTTTTTTTTTGCGGCGGCGATATGGACGGCGGCGGCGGCGCTTACCTTTTCTAGTCCCTCCTCCTTCAGGCTTACGATGTCCAGGTCAAAGTCCGTACGCAATCCGGTTGTCTTGTTGAACGAGAGTCTCCCGGTCAGTCCGTCCCATTGGGACTGGGAAAAAGTAAAAAAAAAAAAAAAAAAGGATGACATTTCCAACCACAATCACCAAACTGCCCACCGGATTGTGTGTCTCCAGCAGGTGGCAGAGGAGGGCCTTCCCTCCGGCTTTGCGCACCCGCTGCCCATCGTGATCAGCTTTGTATTTATGCCTTCGTGGGGTGATTCGCCTTGCTCACAACTTTGTCACTCACTTTGAATTTTTCCAGATGTCGAGTTTTCGAGTGACATTTTAGTCTGGTCATGTTTTTTTTTTTTTTTTTTGCATTTCACTTTGGAACTCGTTTTTCGTTCTGATTGGTCATCAAGGCTTTGTATCGTGAGCATTTTGGGTTTTCTTGTCTCTTGATTGACAAGCAATGTCCTTTTCTATTTTGTGCTTGTCTTTTGCAAGCGCTTTTGGTGGTTTTGTTTGCCCTGGTGTCGCACCAGCGTCCTTTGTTGCACTTTGTTGGTCTTGTGAATTTTTGGTGTCAATAAATGTTTTAGGGTGTGAGGTTTTTTTTATCAATCCTTGGCGAGGTCATGTTTTGACAGTCCATTTCTGTCCGGAACCTTGCGGAAACACTGACACAAATATATGCTCACAAAGAGCCAAAAATGACCTCCGTTACACGGGGTCCAGTTTGGATTTGTCCTTATCGTATGTAAGACCTCATGAGGACCTTTATACATGCACACATAATAAATTAGTAACGCTGACAATAATCTTAAGAGCTACGACTAGCAACAAAGCGTGTAATTAGCACGCGGCGTGTGTATTTCTCACCACGGAAAGCGTTCAGGCTGCATTTGCATCTTTTTGGTTCATTACAATTCACATCGGATGCCGCCGACGCCAGAGAAGCGCCGAGTTAATTAACGACGGTCTTTTGCTTGCTTCCCCTTGAAGAGGGGAAAATACAGAACTGCCCTCTTTGACTATTTTCCCCGGTAAACGCGAGACGCGAGCGCCGTTTGTGCTGCAGACCTTCCATTTATTCTGCCCGTTTGGTGCTGCGGTTTAATTTGGGATGGAGTGCGAGCAGTGTCAAGCTAAGCCAGTATCTGCTCTTCCCCTTTTCCCTGTCCAAATGGATGGATGTTAAGGGGAGGGGGGTTGGGGGTCTGAATGTTCAAGCTTCAATGTGAAGTGACTTCCTCCAACCGTTCTAAGTTGGCCTCGGGATGTTCAACGGATTCAGAGTGCGATGCAAACGCCTCGGCCTCTTCGACCTTGACGACACGTCTGACGGTCTGTCTTTGGGCCGTGCGTAAATCAGACTGGAGTTTAGTGTTTTTACAAGCGAGCGCCGCGGTGTTGTCCTTAAACGGGAGCCCGGCGTAAGGACAACAATGTAATAATATTTCATTGGCTTTCGTCGCCAGAGGCCGTTGCGGTAGCTTCCTAATAAGAGACCTTGTAAAAAGACAATCCCAAGTCTTTTGGAGGTGGCGTTTGTCATTGGCGAGACAGACTGGAGGGTGTTTCAATAATTTGCGAATGAGGACGGAAGAGCGCAGAGTCCTTTGACGGGGCTGTTGAAGCATGACGACAAACGACGGAGCCAATTCAATCTTGAAGGGATGACAAAGCTTGACGTCATGGGTGCATTGACATGGGATATCCAATCGGTGCGCTGGCATCCCGCCTCTATTTTTCGGCCACGTTTGAAAGAGGCCCCATTCCGATCGCGGGGCGCTCACGCTCGCCTCCCTCCCTTCGGACAATTTCGAGGTTTAACATAAGAAGCGTGTTTCGGGGATGTGCGAGGAGGCCAGAGGGCCCGGAGAAAATTCGTTGCCAGCAGGGATTGAAGAAACAAACTCTCCACACAGATGGTCCGTCGGCGAGTCAAAGCAGGAGTGCTGACTACGAGGCAGATGTCTTCCTAACTACGAGTCTACACTGCTGCCACCGATGCGTATCAGATTGTCATCCACGTTCAGAAGAAGCCCCGAGTCCGATCTGAGGAAATTCAATGTACTTTTTAAGATGAGTTGGTGACAGCGGGGAAGGCGGTGCCAGAGAGGCCAAGCGGGAGATGAATCGGCGTTGCGCTCCTTACACGTCCTCAACTTTTTTTGTAGAGCGACGGGCAAAAATCACAAATCACGGATGTAAGTACGAAGACAGTTGAGAACAGCAGCGGCCCCAGAACTGAACCCAGTGGAACACCGTACATTCCAAAACCCCCCCAAAGAAACCACAGCTCACTTCCTGTACTCTTTAGCGTCCGGCGTCTGTGGGTGCCTCCCAATTTTCACGGCCCAAGGTCAAATATATATATCGGGGTGTGATTTTGTATCTTTAGGTTGCCTTGACCCATCTCGGAATCGCGTCACTAGAAATGTGCAGCGGCCCCAGAACTGAACCCAGTGGAACACCGTACATTCCAAAACCCCCCCAAAGAAACCACAGCTCACTTCCTGTACACCTTTTAGCGTACGGCGTCTGTGGGTGCCTCCCAATTTTCACGGCCCAAGGTCAAATATATATATCGGGGTGTGATTTTGTATCTTTAGGTTGCCTTGACCCATCTCGGAATCGCGTCACTAGAAATGTGCAGTGGAAGACCTTCCTTCCTCAAGTTCTTCCAGGACAAACGACAAAGACACCGAGTTAGAAAGCCGACCCCCGACCAGAAGGAAACGCCACCTGCATACTTAGTTGAAATTTACCTGAAAGAGGTTAACGGATGACCGGCTGCCAAAGTCAAACTTGTGCCTGATCTCGCACCGACACAAAGCGAAAAGAGCGTCGTGCTGTCAATTAGCGGAGGAGAGACTTAACTGGCACTCAGTGGGGCTGAGTAGGACCCCGACTGGACACCTCGTTCTTGCTGTTTTGGGATCTGCACCACAGTGGATGACACGTACCCAGCAAACGCTTATTTTAGCAAAACAAATGAGAACATAACCCCATTTTGGCGGCTGTTGGTATTAACAACATTGATATTTTGGACTGTAACAACACATCCCACTCTGTTTACCAAGCCTCTGTGATCTGGAAGAGCGAGTCGCAACAAGCGCCTCGCCCACTGTGATCGTTGCAATGTGCGAGCTGTCTCGGCAGATTGATCAAGCGAGGCCGCTTCAGCGGAGGGTGAGATGAGAGAAGACAAAAAAAAAAAACCCACAAAACACAATGAGACGCCATAGCGCCTCGCAAACTTGTCACTTCCTTTGCTGGGTTTTGCGCAACGCACTGGAAATGCAATCATGTCGGTCCCGAACGCCTCGAGACAGGTTTTTAAAGTCCACGGGGTTTTTTTTTCCCCGTCAATTGAGAAAGAACGGAAATTCCGCGACTCGCTCGGGATTTAAAAATCTGCACGTAGCAAGCTCCTCGTGCGCAAATGGAAGGTGATGATCCTCTCCGAGGGGATGCTAACGAGAGCCTCGGAGCAGAAGGGAGCGGTTGAGTGATCCCGACTCCTCATTTGCCCACGCTTGGGAGTTTGGCTCCGTCCGGGTCTGACGTCTGGCCGTATTTCGGAGCGTTACATCAGACCTCAGACGCGGGCGAGCGGGTGCCGCGATCGTAGCCTGAAACTCCGGCTAAGCCGCGTGACCGGTCGTGCATCTGGAAATACCGCGGGAGGCAACGTTTGACAATGCGCAGCCTGAAGGACAAGAAAAGCCCGGGGACTGATTCCCAGCACTTTCCCATTCAGCCTTTTCTCTTCTGAATGTCTGACAAACAAGATTGCGAATAGCATCCCAAACAACACGTTCCCTGCATCTTGTTATCTCGAGGTAGAAATATTAGCATCCGCGCCCGGCCGGCCGGCCTCTCGGTGCTTCTATTTGCCGTGCGACAGACAAGTCAGCCTCGTGTTTGATACACTCGAGGCAAGTTTCACAAATTGTCCTTTCAAAAGGTTGCAACGTTCAGAAGATAAAATAGCGTCTGAGGGGGGATTTTACACCGCAGACGACAACTTGGCTTTCATGTGTCTGTCAAGGCTCTTTGTTTGCGGCTGTGATTGATTTGCTGGGTAAACACGGTCTCCGCTCCCCCTCCTCTTCCTCCTCCTCCCTCGCCACTCGGCTGTAATATCACCGGCAAAGGGACAGGCGGGCGACTTTACCTCTTTGATGAAACTCATGAAGCGAGCGCCGAAACGCCAGGGCTTGTGGCGGTGGCACTGCAGCGAGTTGACGGTCATCTGCGGCGCGTGCTGGTAGGAGACGGACACGATGTGGACGGCGTCGTAGGTCAGAGCCGCGTCTGTCTGAAATGGGGGGTGGAGGGGGGCGGGGTGAACCTTGTGTTGCCTTTCAGCACTGAATGTGAAAGCAAACCGTCAGCTTCCAAAGAGTTTTTGTGCAGGACCAGGAACGGCAGAGTGCTATTGGGGGGCGCGACGGCACCCTGGTGCTGTGGGCGCAGCTTCTGTTATTTTGCCCAAAGGGAGGCAGACGGAAGCTGCGGCGGCCGCGCGCTTACGAGTGCTCGGACGTCATACCGTCATGATGCCCTCCAGGAGGCCCGAGTCAGGTTTGGGGGGTTTCTGCCTTTCTGTGGACCACTTGTCCACAATGGAGGAGACCAGCGGGTTGTCCACGTTGAGGATGCGGAAGCCGGTCATGTTGACGCCACAGAAGCGGTAGGGCTCCAAATCAATGGCCATCAGATCCTTTGGAGGAGAGGAGAGACAGTCTCATTCTGGGCCGCCGTGCTCGCCGTCTGCCTTTCAAGTGTGCTTGCTGTTCACCCCCCGCATGAAAAGCCAAACGACGCCCTTTCTGATTAGAGGGATGCTATATTCGGATCCAAATAAAAGTCAAAGGAGGATTTTTCAACGCCCTGCCAGGAGATTCATGCCCCAGTAAACGGATGCTAAAAAGGTTTTCTCGACCTGCGGCGGGAAAATCGCAATCCGGTCAGATATGAGTGGAAAAATTCAAACTTTGCACCAGCGGATGATTTCTGTGACAATTGGACCCCCAAATGGGACACCGGAAACCTCCGTGCCCCTCAAGCACCGCCTCCTACGACGTCGCATCAAACTAAGGTGAGCGGATCAAGTCCGACTGTCGCGGGCGGCGTACCACACCGCACCGGGGAGGCGCGGCGTGCCCCGACCCTGGAAACGTTTGCCGCAACGAATGTCTCGTGAATCGTTGGCGACTCCCATTCCCATCGGCGGATCAAAGCGATTCCGTCGAAGCCGGGGCGGGGCCATTTCTGGGCAAGCCGATGCAGGCGGCGACGGGCAGAGTCGCGTGCTGACACACGTCGTCGCGGCGTAATGGGCTTGGAAAAAGACATTTGGATCAACATCCAGATTTCATGAGCACCCTGGAGGGTGAGCGCCGGCTAACGGGAACAAGTACAACAATAAAAACGCCACCAGCCGCTGAATTATTTCTCCATTTCTCTCCATCTTTTGATGAGCGCGGATCAAAGCACGTGACTATTGTTCGGCGTGACATTCCGAAATGCTCGCTAAAGTAGGTGGGGTCGCTCTGCGAGCTTTTGAAGCTAAGAATACAAAACTAAATGGGACAGAAACGTCGGCAGACGTACGGTACGTTTCTTGTGACATCCTCCTTTCTATTGTGGAGCCTTTTTGAGGGTGTCACAAAAGCGTCTTGTTCCAATTAGGAGTTCACTTTGGGCAGCGGCGGCGTCGCGCGGAATCCGGGCCGTCCTCCCAAGTCTGCCGGCGCACCTTGAGGCACACCTGCACGGTCGAAGCCGTGCAAAATCTGACACCCTTGCAGACCGCTGCTGCTGCGCCTTTGGGCCACACCGTCAAGGAGGGAAGAAATGCCGCAACCTTTCGGGGCTTCGCCTTGGCCAGTGTCATTAGACCGACTCGCCGAACCACCGGGGCGGGATCCGGGGCGAAGAGCCGCCGCCATAAGCCCGATTTTCGGAAAACGCAATCCGTCGTCCTCCGTTGCGGTCCCCGCGACGACATTTGAACCGCTTCTTCCCGGCTCTCGATGTCGCCGGACGCCGCGATCGACGCTTCCGTTGGCCACGGCCGCAAGCCTGCCCGTCATCCCTGCTGCGGGCGGATCGGGGCGACTGTTCCCCGAGGTCGGTCGGGCCTTCCGTTATGGCCTGAGCGGCAGTTTGTCGCTCTTTCCAGAGCGTGCGACGACATTCTGGATCAAGTCAAGGCTGATGCGCCTTCACCTGATCGAAGCCATGCCTCCCCGGAGGGTATATCGCCCAATTAAAGACGAGCAACATCGAGCGTCACAATTTGCCTTTTTTGAACAGCGGTTTTTTTCACCCATGAAAGCAGCGCAGATGCTCCAAAGACACCAAGCGTGTCAAAACAAGGATTTCGGCCATGCTTCAGAGCACCAGAGATGACACACGTCAGGGCCGGGCCTCCGTGTCAGAACGCATTATCACCGTCGACTGGCCTGGTCCGCGGAGACAGAGTGCCTCAGTGTGTGTGTGTGTGGGAGAGAGCGAAAGAGAGCGCGACAGAGGGTGAAAGCGACAGCGTAGAACGTCGTTGCCATTCAACATGGCGGCGAGGGGGCAGCATTTGCTTCCAGCTGGCGCCGGTCGTCGAGGGAGGCGGCGGCGGACGCGACGGAGACCAAAGTCACGTTGGAAGCTAACGTTAGTCTTCAGAAGCCTCACGGAGGCACTCAGTCCAGACTTTCCACATCGGCGGCAAAGATGCAAAAGTGGTGTCCAAACTACGGCCCGGGGCCCCATTTGCGGGCCCGCCATCCATTTTTCGGCGAGCGAGCCGCGCCATAAACGGCAACAACAAATAGTAAAAAAATGTCATTGGACATCATGGGCCGCAAAGGTCGGGTGTTCGGGAGGGGGCGCGACATTACCAGAGTGGTGAAGATGTAGTGGTAGTACTCGGTCATCATCCCCATGGTCTGGGCCTGGACAGCGACAATGGAGACAAAAGGGGAAAAATCGCTCACAAAGCAACTCCGAGCCCACCAAGGACGTCATCCTTTATGCTACGTGCACCCCAAACCGTCGCCAGCCTTTCTGGCGCCGCCATTCCATTTCGAGGTCAATGCGGTTGGGCGCGGTGGGCCGGTCCAACTGCTACGGTCGAGCGAGCCAAGCGCCTCCCCCTTCTCTCTAAACGGCAACAACAAATAGTAAAAAAATGTCATTGGACATCATGGGCCGCAAAGGTCGGGTGTTCGGGAGGGGGCGCGACATTACCAGAGTGGTGAAGATGTAGTGGTAGTACTCGGTCATCATCCCCATGGTCTGGGCCTGGACAGCGACAATGGAGACAAAAGGGGAAAAATCGCTCACAAAGCAACTCCGAGCCCACCAAGGACGTCATCCTTTATGCTACGTGCACCCCAAACCGTCGCCAGCCTTTCTGGCGCCGCCATTCCATTTCGAGGTCAATGCTGACCTGATCCTTTACGCTATTATTCTCTCAAGCGAAAATTAAGCGAGCTTTTTACCTGCTTCGCCTCGCGGACGGCCAATCGGACTTCGGGACCCACGACGGGTATGCTCGTTATTGTTGGTACTGTGGAATTGTACCGAGTTGAGCATTGGCCAAAACCAGAGTACAGTTTCGACCACCTGGCCCTGCGTGGCAAAATGGCCGGTCCAACTGCTACGGTCAAACGCTCGCGACGGATTTGGTGTGCACGTACCGATTGCTCTGACTCAGCAGAAATGAAGTATGAAGCATGAAGTCATGTTCACTACAACAAACATTTCCTTATACGTGCATGTATACCATCACATTTGGCCTTATAAATATTATACTCCGACACATGTACCTTTACGGGTGGGTGGGGGAGGGGTGGGGGGGGTACCTACTTTGTGGATTTTCCTCTTTGGCGGGTGGTCTCGGTCCCCGTTAAGCGCGATAAGTGAGGGATGTACTGTATTGTCAGCAAAAGAGATGACGACGATGAAATATCTCCCAAAGTGAGCTGGGAAAATCCGATTCGACCGCTTAATACGTTCTGGAAGAACCCGTGTCGAGGATAAGGCGCAGTCATTTCGGGGAGATCTTCTCGGGGCGGTGCGCCGTGACATCTCGCCCAATGATGAATGTTAGCAAAACGCCAAATAAATGATTTTCTTTGTTGTTAGTTTGTTTTTGACACCGCGACCGAAACGTCAAGGTTGCGCGCTTTGAAAGGGACGTCAGCATTAAAGGCAAACGTGTCCCCTCTTCCTTTCCTTCCCGTCGCTAGCGAGCACGCTAGACCCTCCATCGCCGCCACTTGTTTTGACTCCAGCGACGGACGTGGAGAGGCGGCGCGGTCCCGTGGGCGGCGGTGCGTCGCATCAAACTGTGCCGTGGGCTGTCAAGAAACGTCAAGGTTGCGCGCTTTGAAAGGGACGTCAACATCAAAGGCAAACGTGTCCCCTCTTCTTTCCTTCCGTCGCGACCGAGCACAACTACGCTGAGACTGTGTGCGTGCTCGCATTTATTGGGGCCTATTTGCGGGAAAGACAATCCGACGCGTGGACCCGCCTTGCACGCGGAATTTGGCTTTCCAAATTGTCCGGTTTCGCGATGAAAATACTTGCAGTAGAAACGTCAAGGTTGCGCGCTTTGAAAGGGACGTCAACATCAAAGGCAAACGTGTCCCCTCTTCTTTCCTTCCGTCGCGACCGAGCACAACTACGCTGAGACTGTGTGCGTGCTCGCATTTATTGGGGCCTACTTGCAGGAAAGACAACCGATTTTGTCCGACGGCCTCTTGGAAAAGTCGGGCGGCCACTTTTCACTTTTCTCCATCTCAGGCACTTGCCGTCGACCGAAAAAGGACACGTCGCGTGCCGAAGGGCTCCTTTGCGGGTTTGTTCGGGTGACGTCGGCGAGCCGGCGTTGTCTTCAGTGGACAGCGAGCGGCGGTGCCGTGCAAAAAAGTTTTTAATCCGCCTCTCATTGTCAAGGAAAATATTGACTTGACTTCCCCTGGAAGCGGTCGACGGCGCTCGCGCTTGGACAACAAAGGGGAGTCATTCCGCCGCATGGGTGTTTGCTCCAAATCACCAGGGACACGCTTTGCCATTTTCTCCCGTTGGAGCGGCAGACGGAACGCGAGCCGACAGACGCGCGGTGACGGGAGCGCGTGCGGACGACCTGATGGCGTGGCGGCACGTCGTGTGTGAGCGCTGAAAGCCGCTTGAAAAACATGCCGGGAACTCGGCCGCTTCTCTCACGCAAGCGCAATCATCTGTCGTGCCGGTCCGAGTCGCGCGACGCGTGGACCCGCCTTGCACGCGCTGCCTTTCCATTGGGCTGCACTTGCACCAAATGCATCGGAATTTGGCTTTCCAAATTTTCCGGTTTCGCGATGAAAATACTTGCAGTGACCGCGCCTCGGCTCGAGTGTTTGAAGCGGGCGAGCTGCGCCGCGGCGAGACGTCGAGGCCGACCTGCTTGAGGATCTGCGCGGCCATGTGATGGCCGCAGTCGAAGATGATGCGGAACTCGCGGCTCCTCTTCATCTCCTTGAGGAGGGGCCGGGTGTCCTGCGTGTCCACGGGCAGCTGCCGGATCTTCAGCCGGATGTTGTACCTGGACGGCGCCATGATCAGCTCCTGGAGTCTTATGAGCCCTGAAAGAGACACCGCGTTTGCAAATCCGCGCATACGCGTGGGTCGACGTTAGCGCTTCGTCGATTGGGCTGGCACGTTTGGATCGCCGAGGGAAACTCAAAAACTCAACCGCGCTGACCTGTGCTGTCGTCATAGACCACGGTGGCGGTTTTCCACTTGAGGAACTGCACCAGGTCCAGGATGGCGTAGCTCAGCGACGAGTAGTCCGGGTACAAGTTGGCGTAGAAGGTGTCCCTGTTGTCGGCGGGGTGATGCTTCCAGCGCACCTGCACGTGCGGCACCTCCAGCGCGTTGCAGATGGACTGCACGGCGTTGGACGACGAGCTGTGCGACGGCCCGAAGATGGCCACCACGCCCAGGGACAGCTGGTCGCAGGCTGCCCGAGAGTTTTGCAGGCTGTTTGGCCCCGGGGAACGCCACAACCGGGCATATTTAGCGCGCGTCGCCTCACCTTTCCTGGAGGCCTCGAAGCTGTCGTAGATATTAATCCTCTGAATGTCGTAGGTCAGCGTGGTGTTGGGCAGCAGGGTCCGGTTTCGGTTGATGTTGTTGACGGCGAATTTGAAGGCCAGCTCCTCGGCGCTGACCAGGGGGACGGCGCCGTCGGTTTGCTCGAAAATGCCGCCTGGGGAAAAAAAAAGAAAAAGGGCCCGTCGAAAAAGGGAAAAACGGAGGGAAATTCACTCGGACTCTTTGAACGGACGGAAGGGGCGCTCGCTCGGCGCGCAAAACACGCCGGCGCGTTGGTCGCTCGCGTGCGCTCGTACCTCCGCCCGACGGAGCCGAAACAACCCGTCGGCGCGCACGTTTCCGCTGCCTTTGCTTCTGCGATCTCTCTCTCTCGGGGGGGGGGGACATGACCTAATTGCCGGAGTCAACCCTAATCTGAGCATTTGCCAACTATTTGCTCAAGTTCTCGCCAACGGGAACACGCTTTGGCTCGGCCGCTGCCATGAGAAGAGTGCGTGAGCCACGGGGACGTTATCGCCCGTCATCGTGCGACGACCTCCCCGTTTCGAAACCCTCTGATCGTTTGGGTGACATCACGGCAGCCATTTTGCCTCCGTTTCACCCTTTTCGTCGTGCAAGACGCGCAAGGTGGATGTTCGGCCTCAAATCCGACATGTCCCCAAGTGAGCCGAAAAGGGACCGACCGGTGCTGCAAAGCCAAGACTGACAGATGCGATTGGCAGGCGGCAAAGCGAATGGCTTTCTCGCTGTCGTTTTGGGTTCCTTTCGCACCGATGAGCTGCGTTTGCTCGAGAGTGGCCCACACTGCGGCAAGCGATGTGCGCAGGCCCTCCAGGGACCAACGATGACATGCGGCTTGACGTCAAAAAGTGACATAGTAGCCTCCAGATAGTGTTGCAAATAAACAAGGGGACAAAATGGGTCCACGTGTCGAGGGAAGACGCGCACGCTCCGCTGTTGTGCCCGCCAGCCAGCTTCGGTCGGCTCGCTCGCTCTCAGTGGCGCCGGGTACCCATGAAAAAAAAACGCTTATTTTTAACATGCGGCGACTGACTTCACAGAGCGAGAAAGAGCGAGAGAAGTGAGTGACGGACGGAATGACGGCGTGCCAAAACGCAAGCGCGCCTCGGGTTGTTTTGTTTTCCCTTTCTGGCTGCCTGCTGATTTGCGTTCGGAATGCTTAGCGCGACAACTTTTGTCCTCTGATTTGACTTATAAGTAGGCGGGGGAGGAAAAATATTTCTCATGCACATATCGGGTTGGAGGTTTGCGTGCACATACATGTGGAGAGCTATCTGTCGATCTACATACATACGGATATACGGTATTTCTATCCGTATGTATGTATGTAGACAGACATATATACGGTATTTCTATCCGTATGTATGTATGTAGACAGACAGGCAGACAGATACAATAGGGAGAGCAAGAGAGATTTGTACACATAGAAGCTTCATGCATAAAATAGCGACATCTTTGCATGTGGGGGGGGGGGGGCGCTGGCCATCCTCACAGTCTACACTGCGGTATCTGTGACACTGAATGTGTGTGCGGGCGGGTGGACCTGGCCTGCCGAGCGCCATGGAAGTCAACAGATGAGAATGTCCGGTCGGCCAACAAGTACAGTTGCGTGATATTGCGCCGTACTGAATGACGTTTTGCGACGCATGATTTGCGTCGGGGAAAACTCCCGTGAAAACAACAAAAGGGCTTTTTTACGGAAAGGATCGCACCTGCTCGCGTTGGTTTTTTTTTCGTTTGACGGGAAGTTCAAAAGAACAAAGCGAGGCGTGCGACTCCCGCGACCTTTTCCGTTGGCTTTCCGCCGGAAGGATCCGTTGAGCCGGTTGGAGCGACCTGCCGGTGCATCTCTGGCACCGTGCTCGTTTCTGGCTTTGGAAGTGCCCAAAGCCCGCCTCCCCCCCCCCGTTGCCCGCACTCGCTTCCCGCCCAAGTCTGACACAAAAACCGCCAAGCGCTAACCGGGCCGATGTTTACAGCCGATTTCAGCAAGAATGCAGTGGTCCATAATTATGAATAACGACACAATAACAATTATCTCCACAGCCCCGCAGGACTCAATTTGTTAGCCTAAATTAACGATGGCTATCGTGAAAGCAAATTAAAAACCACTGCTAGCCTGTTCATCAACTCGGACGATTATGGGTTTTTTTTGTTGGCTTTTACTGCCACGGGCGTTGTCCGCCGGCAAAGGACTTTGGAAGACCTTCTTGATCCCTTGAATTTTCTAGAGTACGTGACATGTGCGCACGGCCACACTTGGGACCTCGTTCTTGCTTATGGTGTCAAACTCGAAAATCTTGGGACAATGTGATTTCCCGTCACATGACAGCTTTCTTTGATGTCGTCTTTTCCTGTGCCGCTGTTCAATCTGCCGCTCCGGAGTGCAGCCGCGGATTCTTGGCCCTCTTACTGCCGCTCGGTCCTCTGATGGCCTTTAATCAGCTTTGCCTTCCCTCTTCAAACACACGTTGCCACTCATCCTCCCATGCTGCGGTGACCGAGTCGGTGGCTCCGCGAGAAACCGTGCAGCCGAAAGCTCGACCCGAGCCTTGCTTTCATGACAGAATTTGGTCAGCAAATTTTTCTTGGGTGAATATGAGGTTATGGAGGTTTTAAGATGAGGCAGGGCTCTTTTAAGACACTCGCGATGATGTGTGTCTGTTTTTTTTTTTTTTTTGGGGGGGGGGGTTTTGGGTGTTTTTTTTGGTTTTTCTTGGGCGTTTGACTCAGTCCTCTGAGTCTTGGACTGCTCCACTGTTTTATGGTGTTCCACAGGGTTCAATTCTGGGGCCCCTGCAGTTTTCGTTGCATCTGCTCCCATTGGTTCTTGAGGTATTTTCTTCCGCTGCTGTCAGATCTGTGCCCCGCTGAACACAAAAAGACGCCTTCTCACTGCGGCCACCCTTTGGAGGAAATCAAGACCTGCCCGGTGCTTCACGTCTGCGGACCAGACGCTAATCGATGTACCGAGGACGAAAGGAAGGCTCAGGAGGGGTGGAGCCTTTTGCGTTGTCGCTCCCTCTCTTTAGAATGACTTCCCGCTGATCGTTCGGCAAGCCCATCTTTAAAACTCATCTTGAGATTCTGTTTTATTCTTTGGCTTCTGACTCAGCAAGAGGTTTTCAGTTTGACCGTTTTTGGTGCTTTTTACGCTCTTTGTTATTCATTCATTGTTTGCTCGTTTGTTGTTGTGCGGATTCTTTTGTTTTGTTGTTTGAAAGTGCTGGCGAAATACACTTGAGTCGAATTGCGATATGATGGCTATAAAGCCACGATGATGTTAGCATGCGCATTCGTATCAGCCACAGCAATATTTGGGATACTTTCCCCGGTGTTTGACCGTTTCGTGTTAAATTAAACAACTCCCTCGAATAAACGTGCAGTACTTTGTACGACAGCCTGTCGGTGATTTCACCTATTGGCATTTTTTTTCTTGCTGGTGGCTAAACCATTGCCCTATGTGTGAAGTGACCGAGATACTTTGCGGCGGGCCTTTTTTTTTTCAAAATCAAATCAACTGCACATGACGTCAAATAACTTTGACATCATGTAAGTGTTATGCGATCACAGTTTGCGGCATACTACGGTTTCGCATGAGCAACAACATGGATGTTATCCCCTTCCGCATGGCCGATTTGCGTCATTTCGACAAATAGTCACGATCGATTGGGTTCGTCTTCCGCTTGAGGAAATCAAACGCCTCCCGCAAACAGACGAGTCCTTTTTCAAAATCATGAAAATAAACTGGCGGCTACGATGATGGGAGAATGACCGTCTCATAGCTTGAATGGTTTTAGCGTCGACCATCTTTGCTCTCCTTTTCTTCCGCGGCTTTGTGAGCGGCCGTCACCGAGCGTCCTTTTCATGTGTCCGGCCTGTCGTCGGTCGGTGGCTGCCCCCGCAAGGGATGCAGCGATTGATCCTCGAATCTTCTTAGGGCTGCGAGGGCTCCTTCGGGTTGATCGCTGCTCTCCATCGCCATCTCGGGCGTAGGTGATGAGAGGCCACGTTCGGGTTCCAGCCTCGTTTATTAGTGCACGCCACCATTTTTGGCAGATAACCCGCTGGTGATCAACGGAATACGGGACGAAGCGCTCCAGGGGAGTTTCAACAGGTGCAAATAGTCACGTTTGCCGCCCGTCGTGGCGGAGGGGACGTTCCTACAAAGGCTGCGACGTAACGCGAAAAAAGGGGCCGAGAGACGGCGGCCAAATGACGGCGGCCTCTCCTCGCACATCAGCCGTGAGACGCGATAGGATAATTGATGATGCGGCTCGAAATGCAAGCTGTGCTTTGAAGCTGTCACGATTGGAAGTGAAAGGAAATTATGAAAGAGCGCGTTCTTTTGTGGTCCAAAGCGATACGCCGGCGAGGGAAACTGCACGGTGAATGTCGGCCGCTTTGACACGGGGCCATTTATTATCATCTAAATGGAACACGGGGCCTTCGCTCTTTTAATTACCTTCCACGCCGCCTTTCCGTCCAAGGCGGAGAGCCCGCTCCTCTTGATTCGTAGCGCTCAAGGCGACACGGCCGAGAGTGTCGCCGCCGCTCCTCTGTGGTGTCGGCTAACAACTCGTTTGCAAAATCTCATTTTATGCTCAAACGCTTCCGCTTCGGCAATTTATCGTAGCCAAGGCTCGGCCGCTCCTGCTGAAACCACCCAACCAATCCGAGTCCCACACGGACGGACGGTCTCTGCCCACTGGAGCTTCGTGAGGGGTTTGGATCTCATCAACATTCCCAAACACTCGCACGGGATCATCTGTCAGCACAGGAGACGCTACTGGGAAGCGTGCGGGGCACCCCGGTCGTCAGCAGGGGTGTCGTCGGCCATGCTTCGCATAGAAAATGCCTTCTCCTGTTCCCATTTTAATGAGCACACCGTCATGAGCCCCATAATCGGAGGGCAATAGGAGGGCTATATATATATATATATATATATAAAGAGAGGGGGGGGGGGGGGACTCTGAACGATTGCCAGCCAATCGAGAGAGATCTATATCTATATATAATGCAGGTTGTGCTCAACAGTGCTTAGCATTTTATGTAGCCAATGATTAGTGACGACTGAAGACGGGGGAAATCAATGCGTCCACTGGAACCAAGAAAAAAAGTATATGGCAAAGC